TTCCCCTGTATGCCCGCCAGCTGTGCCCTGTCAACCATATGGCTGGCGGGCATGCAGCTTCCTTCCCAAGCCTCCGCGGGAGGAGAGCGATCACCGCAGAGGCTTGGGAAAAGGTTGACACTCTGGGAAATGGGGGCGCCGGAGGGATCTTTGAACCATGGCGCCGGATATGCTTAAGACAGCCCTGATGACACATTTCAGACTGCAGAGTGAGTGGCTTGCTCAAAGCTGTCCTGTGAGTGTCATGGCTAAGTCAGCATTTGAACTCAGGTCTCCCAAGTCAAAGTGCCACACTGGCCACTATGCCATATTGGCAACGATAGGGGAATAAATTTAGGGCCAAGATTGGGTAAATGGAGGGGAAGATAGGATGTTTCATCAGTAGAGGTGGAGGGGGGGGAGGTTAGTGGATAAGAAAGAGACAGGCTATAGGACTTACCCACTGGCTCGCCTTGACTCAGCTACAGAACTTCCTTTCGGTGTCTTGAGATTCAGCTGCAGAATATGTGAATTAGTGCTAAGAAAGCAGCACACCTGAGCCCGTGTAAAGGGCCTTTTCCTTCCACTAAGGGCCAAGCTAGATGTGTTTGCGGCACAGTCCATGCCACATGGCACACGTCACAGGAAGTTCAGAGAAACATTTTGAGGCTAAGTCAGGGCCCATGTACACTTCTGTTTGCCCTGCTGCTTTCCCCTGAGAAACCTAGTGCTGTATTAGAACAAAGGTCAATCAGGTTTTCTATGGATTGCTGTTTAATCTAAACAAAAAAAATTCCTTCCAGTAGCACCTTAAAGACCAACTAAGTTAGTTCTTGGTATGAGCTTTCGTGTGCATGCATATCTGAAGAAGTGTGCATGCACACGAAAGCTCATACCAAGAACTAACTTAGTTGGTCTTTAAGGTGCTACTGGAAGGAATTTTTGTTTTGTTTTGACTATGGCAGACCAACACGGCTACCTATCTGTAACTGTTTAATCTAATTTAGTGTTAAAAGAGCAGATTTTCCAGGGGGAAGTGGCAGGGCAAAGGCAAAACTGTTCCGACCCATGCCAAGAAAGCATGGGACAAGTGGAAGTGTGGACGAGCCCCCTGCGTGGGAAACGGCACACATGCCAATGGGAAGATCCTTTTAAAGAGGGATAGGTCACATCTTGCTCCCAGAATTGATCCTTGGACTACCACAACAAAAGAAATGGTAGTAGGGGATGAGAATGATTGCACAAGACAAGCTGCTGCCAGTGAAGAGTATATTGTACTGGGCTAGATTGACAAATAGCCTGACACCAGTGTTGAGCACCTTCCTATATCCATGAGCAGATCCCCCCCCCCATCTGTGTAGAACTGGCTAAAAGTGCAACAGTTGGGTTTGTGTGTTAGTCCTCTCCTCTCCCTGCGTAGGTTTCCCTGCCTTGCAAGACAAACAAGCGCTTCAGTGGAAGGAGCAATTGAAAAATGACATGGGAGTAAAAAGGCTAAGCTCGCCTTCTGCCTTGACTGCATTTGCTCAGCTCTTACCACTCATCACAGGTCTCCTCTATTTCATCTAGTAACTGCAGCTCCCATTAGGGAGAAGAATCAGAAGATGAGGAAGGGTTGATCCCCTGATACACTGCTTCAGAAATGAGCCATTCTAGGTTTTGAGACAAGCAGGCAGGGAGGGGCTGTATACTGAGCCTTTGGGTGTCTTTGCAGGTGCCCGGGCTCCCTATGGCAGTCAATTAGGAGGCCCTGCTGGAGATCCTGCTGCTGCTAAATATGGAGGTAAGTCTTTATTGTGCTCCCTAAGGGAAAAGAGACTTCCTTCCTTCTTACATAAGGCAACTGACAAACAGCCTGGCAAAGTTTTGTGCAGCTTGAAGGGGAGCAGAGTTGACTTGCAAAGCATTTTAGCATCAGCTGGCCCTGAGGGGGTGAAACATGCCTTAATTGCTGCATAAATGACTTGGGAAACATAGGATGAAAATGGCCTGGGTGTGACTGTGCTGAATGCTTATTGTTTTACCTGTTTAACTGTCACGGCTTCTCCCAGAGAAGGCAGGGAATTTTTGTTCGGCAAAGGTGCTGACATTTCCTAAAAAAGCTAGTTTCCTGGAGGGGAAACGGATTGACCCTGAAACCACTTGGTGCAGGTGTGTCCTCCTGTGTCAGCATGGGAGAATTTCTGTAGAATTGTTCTAAGTTGTGGGAAAGAGGGGTGCCAAAGGGGCAATCAGGGGATCCTCTCTGTGACCTTCTGTTGCCCTTCCTTGGGCTCCTGTGATCTGCATTACAGGGACAGGGCAACTCCCATACAGTGGGCAGCCAGAAGCTGCTGGCCTGGGAGGAGACTATGGTGCTGGAAGATATGGTAAGTTAAGACAGCAGGGGGTAGGTGTGCCTCAGACTGGTACTCTGTATGACTGCAGGAAAAATACAATTTTGAGTCAAATGCTGATTATTTCAGGTACAACTAAAACACACACACAATCTGGGGTCCCAAATGTAGTGCTTTTGGGGTTCTCATGCACCCTGCCTGGTATTCTCAGAAGGCTCTCCCAATTTATTATAAATAAAACCATGAATTTTTGAGGGCCTTTTTTTTCAGGGGTTCAGACCTGCAAAATGGGTATTTTTTGGTTTCCACAATGAATTCTTAGATTTCTGAGGCCCTGGGCCTAAGATTGGAGACCCCCTCAATCAGTGAAGACAGGCTTGTAGGCAGAGCAGCTGTGGTACTAATATATATATGCTATGCAGATAAAGCAGATTTGCATGTGTGTCCTGTTTTGCATAAATTGTTCTGCCCTGCCTCCCCAAAGTGAAGAGTAAGTAGCTGTGAAATATACTTTACTCTTCTTTGTGTAGACTCAGGGCAGAACCATTTATGCAAAGCAGAACACACAGGCAAACCGGCTTCATTTGCGTAACATCTATGTCAGGGGTCGGCAACCTAAGGCCCATGGGCCACAAGCGGCCCATGGGAGTCGTTTAACTGGCCCATGCACCCCCGCCACCTGCTTGGTCAGCTCCCGTGCGCCGCGCTAAACCAGTGTGGAGCAGAGCGGAGACTGCCTTCTACGATGCTGGCCGGCTTCCCATTGGCTGTAGGAAGCTCCTGCAGCCAATGGGAAGCTGCACACGCCTCCTCCGTGCTAGGAGTGCCGGAAGTAGCGTTTGCACATGTGTGCACGCACACTCTGGCCCACCGCAGCGTTTGTGGGACCGTGAACCAGCCCAAGCCACAAAAACTTTGCCGCTCCCTGATTGATGTAAATAGTAGGGATAGGGAATCTGCAACCCAAGACTCCCATCAACCCTGACTGTTGGCTCTCCTGGTTGAGCCTGATGGGCCCTGGAGTCCAGCAACACCTGCAGGGACACGAGTTCCCCATCTCTGATATATAGGCTGCAGAATTCTACTTTTGATGGCAGAGTTGGGGCTTTCTTTTGCTGCAGACTTTTAACTCTTTAGTACACACAATCCTGGCTGCGACTTGTTGGGCTTAGCTTATAAATTCTTATTGTGCATAGTTGTACATCTCGGCAAGTAGTGTGCCTTCTCCTGGACTGGGGTGCGATAGTGGAGGGATTTGTTTTTGGTGGGGTGGGCAATCATATCCCCTTGCTCCCCCCCACTTTTCTTCTTCTCATGCCTTCCAGGAGCTCCTCAGAGCCCCTATGGAGCACAACCTGGTGGCTCTGATGGCATTGGTGTAGACCCAGCTGCAGCCAAATACGGTAGGTGAAAGAGAGTCCACCTAAGTCACAGAACTAGAGTAGAGCTTCAAGCACATCCATCTGCTGAAAAGCAGTATGGATTGGGGAACTGAGTACACCAAACTGGTAATACTGAGGTCTAGTTACATGGCCAGCTTTGGCTCTGGTGATAGCAGTTAGTCCCAAAGAACTAGGCACACCAAAGAGATAGAATGTTATCTGTTAGACCAACTTAGGTTTAGTTTGCTGCGGATACATTAGGGGGGCTGGAGGCAAAAAAAAAAGACAGCTCCTACGCTTTTAATAGTTTCATGACAAGCTAACCCGCTGATCTTACCTATTCTACACAAATATTAAAGGTGCAAAAGCCCAGCTGTTTTGCATCTGGCACAGAGATACAAGTTTTGGAATTTAACACAGCTGTTCACTGATAGCAAGCAAAACTTTCAGATGCGTTTGAAGCATGCAGTAAGCAACTGTAAATATTTACATTGTTCTCATTTAATGCCGCCCGTGTACAAAATTTGATACATTCTAGATTAGGAGATTCAACTGTTTTCTTTTAGAGTTGATGTTTGTAGAATATATCAACTTGAAGAAGGCTTGGGCTCCTGGATCTTCCTAATCCTAAAAGCCTGAGGTCATGGACCAATTGGTTTGGGGTGGTCTTTTGTTGTTATGCTCTTTCCCTCTTTCTCACTCTCTGCTTCCTCTGCATCCTTTGCAGGCAATGGGAACGGAATAGGATATATGAATGGGCGAGACCCCCAAGCTAATGGGCTGGGGGCAGGTAAGGCTGAAGGTGCAAGATAATAATAAAAAGCACAGCTCTCAATAGGGTGCAGCAGGACAGAAACTACTCCTTCCTGGAAAATGGGGTAGGAAGTTGACAAAAAAGAGATTGCATATTGGATTGTATGCTAAAAATGTTGCAACTTAATAAAATGCAAAAAAAAAATACATTAAAAAGGGCACTGCTCCCTTCACCACCATTGCTCTTTAGGATAGACTTGACTGGGATTGGTGTAATTGGGGATGCCTTTTGCAACCAGTTGCTCTGCTGCTTCACTTGGCTCTTGTTCTGTCTAGCAGGTGCATATGGTCCCTATTCAGCAGGACAAACTCCAGGAGGGTATGGCAGTCCACTGGGCCCTGGACAAGCACTGGGAGGATATGGTAAGTGGTTCTAAAGTTGTGTTCTCTTGTAGCAACGAGGAAGAGATTGGATTTCCCTGCCCAAGAGGTATAGAGCTTCTCAACCTTTTTCCGACTGTGCCCCACCCCTGTCCTATCAGTAGACAGGTAGCTATTCAAATGTTTTATTTGTAAATAGAACATGTTTTATTTATAATACAAAATATTACATAAAAATGTATACTTTAAGTATTTCTCAGTCAATGTGACCCTTGTGTTTGATGACCAGAAACAAACTTTTTAATATTCAGTTCTATTGCTGTGAGGGATAACCAAGATCACCTCTGTTCGTTATGTTAAGGCAATTCTGCGCTAGGCTGAGTAAATAATTCACAGGTGATCTTGAAGTGCATTTGATTTAACGTAATTTACTGCTTTTATTAAAATTTGTAGACTCATGCAAGCACCCTGCTAGCGATCTTGAAACCAAGTGTTGTCGGTGAACTACGTAGTGAATATAGAATACTTCTGCCACACCTTTAAAATATGCAATAAATCCTCTGTATCTACGTGTCATAGAAGCAGACCATGAGTAGCACAGTCCAGAATGTTCTCAAGAGGGATATCTTTCTCACTGATGTACCTCTTTACATCAGTCTATACATAATCTATCTTTTTTGGGCGTATCAGTGAAGACTCTCGATTTCCTTTCTCTCGTCCACTCTTCGAGGAGGAAGTACTTTTACCAATGACTTTTTTATATATGGTCTAACTACTTCAGGGGACAATATTGGTGTAGAGCCTGGCAGAACGACCTTAGGAGATGTTACATCCTCTTCCAATCGGTTCCCAAGGGGGTTGGCTTCAACAACTGGTATCTCGTTGTCTTCAGAGTTTTTGGGAACCTCATCATTTTGGCTAATATCCATGTCCACAAAACCTAGCTCTTTTGTATTTCCTTCATTTGTCACATCCGTAACATCGGCAATATCTTGAGGACTTGAATCTAACATTTGCATTGGTGCGAAATCATCAGGCGTAAATTTGTAGTGCGTCATTACTCATTCATAATTGTCAAAAAAAAATCAGTGACTGCAGTTTTATTGAACACAAGACTTCGTGTTGCACTCATATTTTCTGGCTTTCTGGGGCTTCGATCCCGATTCCTCTTTCTAAATCCTGCTGCCCAATCTTTCCCAGCACATCTTTTTTCCCCCCAGGATTCCGGATATCTACACCCCAAATTCCGGATATCTACACCCCAAATATTCTGCATATTCATAAGCCAAAACAAAGACAGCCTGTAGTGCATTTAACTACAGTTCAATAAATATTCAGTAAACACTTTCTCTTGTTCAGTTGAGAAAACCTGTGCAACAGTGTACTTGGACCCATATATATTAGAAGATGACGCTTCATTTTCTTCAGAAGTTTTTCGAAAATTTTCAATGCGATGTTGCAAAGTTGCAGCTTTGATCCTGTATTTGTCAGCTGCCCTCCATATAGACAATCTCTTTGATTAACTTCAGATATAGCAGTCTTTATGTTCTCCTCATCGATACTTCCTCTATCAGTCTTAGGTTTATAAGTTCGCACCATTTTCTGGAAAACAGAATAACTAGTTTAGAGATTTCATGCAAACTTGTATATTGGTGCACTATTGTACAGTAGCGGGGCACTTTTATACATATCAATGTGCCCCGTTTCTTAGTGTACCAAGTACCCCACGGACATTTTCAGAAAATATTTATTAGTAAAACCACTGAATTTATTTTAAAATCACGTGTAATTCTGATTACCTTTGGTATTTTAAAATCTTAACTAAATGATGTAAAACAGTGTCAGAACACTTTTTCATTTCACGTAATTTTTTAGCTGGCCACGCTAAAAGCACACCTACTCTCGTCAAACGCCAACGGCTAACTGGTGGGCAGCATGGTCGCAGCTGTTGTACTCACATATGTATAGACACATTTTAGTGATGTCATGACACAAATAACATTTCTCAAAATTGAAATATTGTTGGTGCATCAATGTGCCCCGCCTCCCCCTAGGCCAGGCTTCCTCAACCTCGGCCCTCCATATGTTTTTGGCCTACAACTCCCATGATTCCTAGCTAGCAGGACCAGTGGTCAGGGATGATGGGAATTGTAGTCTCAAAACATCTGGAGGGCTGAGGTTGAGGAAGCCTGCCCTAGGTATTATGTAATCTTATGGTGACAGAATTAATTCATAGCCAAGATACTCAACTGAGTATTGTAGGCTTCCTCTTTTTTTGTGTGGAGGTAGCTATGGGGTATCATAAAATTTAAAAACTGAAACTTGATACATATGCCAAATAACTTTACATATGTTTGCAACAACAAAATAATATCACTTCTCAGAAATAAAACAGCATTAGAACATCTGAACAAAGACAAATGCAAAGTTATTCTGATCTCAATAGATCTCTACGAGGAGAAGCGACTGAACACAGCAACCACAAAAGGAATGGCAAACATAACGGCTGCAGTCCTAGGGCAGCAATTTTTAACATTTACTGGGGAATAACTCATTGAACACAGGACTTGCTTCTGAGAAAGCATGCATAGGCATGCACTGCATACTGTAGTCTTTGCAATGCCTTTTCACACTTTATGTTTTGATAATTGGATGTTTGAGCACTGTGATTTGTACAAAAAGAGGATACAAATGGTCTTGAGTGAATTTCTTGCTTTGGAATAAATGGAAAAGCATTCTGTACACCAAATGAGAGTAAGGAAAAACCAGTCACTTTTTCTGTTTTGCTCTAGGAGGAAAAGAATCTAAGTATGGAATGAATGGTTTTCTGGGAAATGGGTACAGAGGTAAGAAAGATGGGGTCCCTATCTTTCATAATTGTGGCTGTTCTCTATCCTTACTACTCAGCCTGTTGTACAAATCAGAGCTTCCATAGTTTGGTTCCTATCTGATCAGTTTCCATCCCCACCACATGCCTTTCTGCAACCTGTTTCTGGAAGTGCAAGGATGAAATATGGAACAATGCCTGCCTCTTTTTCTACATTTTTTCCCCTTCTGTTTTCTCAGGTCGCTGCTCTTCTGGAAAATGCTGAGGAATGATGTTACTGTGTGGAACTTTCTCTGCAGCAGGATTCAGGCATCCCGGCAACTTTTGGTGCTATGAGTGATGATTAATGACAACCAAGTTTTCCAGTATAAATGATCCTATATTTCTTTATCCTGTTTTTATTTTATTATTAGAAACCTTTCATTGTAAAAGAGAAGATTTTACCATGTTGGCTTCTAAAGCATTACTGAACACATTTTCTAAGGGCTGTTAGCATGTCAAGATCAGTGTTACAGAGATGGACACATGAAGTTGGAAACCCCTTTCCTTCCAAAGAGATTTGACTTATCAATTCCACTTCTTTGGAAGTAGCCTAGAGTTGATTCCCATCTTAGTGTGTATCTGGGTGCCCAGGCACAAGTGTCTTTTCAATTAAAAATAAGTAAATCCACAATTCTGTTGTCTTTATCATTCTTGGTGAAAGAATTATAACATACCAAACCAACCATTGCCTTTCTTTAAACATTCATGTTTTGTTTTTCAGTTGCTGTGGGTTTTCTACATTCTAAACAATACTATACAGCCCTAAGTCAAACTGAAATATTTGCACTGGGTTTGTGCAAAGGATGTGAACAGTTAGAAATATAAAGCAAGGTTTGGATCCCTGGGATCACTTATAGAAATCTGAACATGGGGAAAAGTAGGGGAAGGATACATGGGAAACCCAGATGTGTGCTAGCTATACAATCCAACCCAACCACAGTGATAACCAGACTTCTTCGCTAGATGGAGCTGCTGCAATTCCAGATGGGCTTATAATTTTCTCCTAACCAACAGAAACTTCTGTAATCAAGTTTGGCACTTGGGGGTTTCTTTCATTCTCAGCTTCTTGGCCACACAGTTCTCAGAAACGGAACCGTATTTGAAAAAGAGGTACAGTAATGGCCACATATTAATTACATCAAAATAAATAATGAGTTAATGTTATGGGACTCCCCGTTTCTTATGAACTATATTAACTGAATGTGAGGGGATTTAAGTATCATAAAACCACTTTAAAGTATGTAAAATGGCAATTTCAATTTTTAACAAGATTGTAATTTTGCCACACACACCTCAACCTGCTACCCAGGGCACATGCCTTTTCCCCTATACTGGTTCTATGTACAATTTGTGCTTGTTAACTCAAGCTTGACGGATGGGCTTTTAAAAAGTCTTTTTTTATTTTTATTTTTGCAGGCTGGCTCTCCCAGTCTGACCAAAGGGATGCCCATCATGGAGCCACTTAAAACAACCCTAATTACTCATGTCAGTCAGGACAAAGGGATGGGGGTTTGCACTTTCCAGGTCAGCTGGGGCCCTTGGAGTTCCCCAGTACCTTACAAGTCTCCCCTAGCTTCACCACTTCAGCCGACATAGAAAATACATCAGGTGAAGGTACTTATCGTCTGACTGGTGGGGGGGGCACTGTTTCCCTTTGCACAGAAAACATCCAGGGAACCCAGAAAACCCAGGTGGATCAACTGAAGCTGAGAACACACCATATATTTAAAACATATCCCCCACTACCACACCAAAGAATCCTGGGAGCTGTAACTTACCCTCACAAAACTACAATTCCCGTCACCCTTAAACTACAGTTCCCACAGTTCTTGCTGGAGTGGGGGTGCTGCAAACGCGCTTTAAATGTATGGCACAGACAACGACCTGAGTCACTCTCAGGGGGAGTGAGCACTGAATCAGAGATCCAACGCAGGTTTCCGAGTTCTGGTTCGACCTGTTTGCCATACCACCCAACAAACAGAACCAGAGTTCGTTTTTCCCTTCGGAATCCTGGAACTGTCGAGTTGGAACGGACACCCCAGAGGTCATCTAGTCCAACTCCCCGTCATGCGCCGGATCTGGGCGCTAGCAAGGCAGGCGCTTCCAGCAGTTCCCTAGTCTCGGGGGGGGGGGAGGGCAGGTGGGTGAGCGGCTGCATGTAGCCCCCGCCCCCCAATCCAGACAGGCTCGGGTAGGGGCCCGGCCGCCCCGGTATTGTTCGCCCTTCCCCGGGATGCACTGCTTGCTCACACCCACTTACCAAGGCTCCTCACTCGCGAGGGGGCGGCAATTCTTCATTTACCACGACTCCCCCGCTCGAGCGAAGGAGGCCGCTTAGGCCCACCCGACTACCCGCTTCCAGTTCTTTCTCCTCAGGTGCCGCGTCAGACTGCGGGCCCCACCTCCCCAAAGGCAAAAAAGCCTCGTCTGTTTCCTATCGAGTGGGCGGCCCAGGGACTCCTCGGCAAAGTCCAGGCTTGCCTCCGAGTCCGAGCGAGGCCTTTCCTCTTTCCTCATCCCAGCTGGCCTCATCCACCCACCTGCCAACGTACTGACTGACTGACTGACTGGGCAAACAAAAAAACCGGGCGCTCACAGTTAAAAGAGGCGTTTCCGTTGAAAGGAGCGCTCGCGCGCTCGCTTAGTCCCTTCGGCCCGTTGCCTTTCACGCACGCATGCGCGGTGACGTCGGGACGCGGAAGTGGGCGAGGCCGTTTGGAATTTTGGCGCGAGAGCGCAAACTGGGCGTTGAGGGGATTCGCGCGCGCGCGCCGGGCAGGAATACACACCTGAGGGAAGGGAGGGGGTGGGAAAAGGGCTGCTTCATCCGGGAACTCTCGGACGGACGGAACAAAGCGATTCCCTCGCTCGCACGTACGCGAGAGCCCTTGCTCTCCGGGGCTCCGAGGAAATTTGAAATTATAGAGAGGAAGGAGAAGAGAGGTAAGGCGCCGGTGCTTTTGCGTTTCCTCACTGGCAGGAGCGGGTGTGGCGGTGATGTCGCCGACTAGGAGCAGGGGAAAGGGGCGCGCGCCCCCCGCACCTGAGGTGAATTTCGGGGAAGGGCAGAGGCGGTGGCTGGGGGAACAGGGCCCTTCTCCGTGGAGGAGGGCGAGGCCGCCGGTGGTGGCTATCTATCATTGTTAGAATGACTAAACGTCGTATTGATTTCTATCCCACCTTTTCCCCTGACAGGGACTTGAGGCGGCTTACAGAGGGAATAGGAAGCAGCCGAAACGTAGGGTGAGGTGGGGGGGGGAGGGAACGACGATTAAAAAGCAAGTAAAAACATGGATAGAGCCGTGTTTCTGATAGGTCTGGGGGAAAGGAAGCTGAGGCGGGGGGGTCGGAAGGGGCTTATTCTAGCCAGGGTCACACTTGCAAGATGTTATAGGGCCTGGGGCGGGGGAGGCTGTGCCCAAGGCTTCGTGGAAAGTGTGAGGTTGAGGTGGGGGAGGGATTTATTTGAGGACGTCCTGGGAGGCGGTCCCAAGCATAAAGAGACTCCGAGGCAGCAGGGCTTCTGAATGCCAGTTGATGGGAATCACAAGGTGCTCGAATCCTGCTCCTCGTGGGGTTTCCTCACAGGCATTGGGTGGCCACTGGGAAGACAGTATGCTGGATTAGATGGACCATTGGCCTGATCCAGCAGGGCTCTTCTTGTGTTTCTATAAGGAGCAGGAGAACTTTAGAGGGCTGAGAGTGATGGAGCCGGAGGGGCGAGGATGTCTCTGCCACAGCTGACGTAAGTCAAGCCGAGTTGTGGGGGACAGCTGGGCTCTTCTTTTAGTGGTGGTGTTGGTGATGGTAAAATCAGAACAAGGCAAATTCCTGGAATTCTCTAGTTGTCTTGTCATTTTAATCCTACTCTTTTCTCAAGGAGTTCAGAGTACATAGCTCTGCTTCTTTCTCCTCTGCATACTCTTTTATTCCTGCCACAGCCCTGTAAGAGAGTTCAGGCTCAAAGACTGGCCTGAGATCACCCAGTGAACTTTGTGTGGATTTGAGCCTGGCTGCAGGGGCTCTTAAGTCAGATGTGATGTGGACGCCACATAGGCATCTGGTAGCTAAATGGAACCTCCATTTTTAGAGGCAGTGTACCTGTGAGTACCATGTGTTTCTAGAGACAAACAGGAAATGGCCATCACCCTCATGACAAGGTTGTGACCTGGCTGCCTGGTGTTGGAAACAGAATATTTATTCTGATCTGTTTAGCCTCCTGTTGTTATTACCATCTCTGGTTGCACACACCTGGGACTGAGATAAAGACAGCCCACTCGTGACGACATCATCATCATTATTAGTCTACCTCCTAGGTTTATTGTCAGGATAAAGGAAAGAGGAAAAAACCCACACATGCTCTGCTAAAGGGTTAGAAATATAGCAATATTTTTATGTAGTGCCCTATTTATTTAGAAGATGCACAGGGCAGTCTTAATTTTAATGTAAATCTCTCAGTGTTCAGTATGGCTTCCTCAAAGGAAATTGTGTATAGGTTTGTATCCAACTGCTCTGCTGTTCACATAGACATTTAAGCGGCTTATGATAGATAATGTAAATATGAATTCCTTGTGTGAATCGATACTTTGAAACTCTTCATATCTTCCTGTTAGTGCTCCACTTAGTGTTTTTTTCTTTGTGACTCTGCTGACTGCTTTGTTTTCCTTTGAGTGCCTCTAAAGATTCTGATCCCAGACTTGTCAGTTTCATCTGACTGTCACATGATTTATCAGGAATCACTAAGGCCATTACAAACTCCTTCACAATTACTGATGGTTCCAGGACAGTTGCAGTAGATGGATGAAAGGCATCGTAACCTAAAATGCATCCCAAATGGCCAGAGCCTGGAGACAGCAGCCCACAGGGCATTGATCTTCTAAGATGGAATTCTAGCAACTGATTGGGAGACATGAGTTATTGAAGCCTCTGCCTGATAGACAGAACCTTAAAATGGGTGGTTGTTTTTGTTCTTGCAAAAGACAAAAATAAACACGTCCCTTCCTGCTGTGAATACAAGCTACGAAGGTAGATAAAGATACAGCTCTGGGCTTGTGGTCCCAGAACTGGAATGTAGAAATGAATAGTGGGAGTTAGAATGCTTTTCAGGTTCCAGGGCTTCTGAACATCATTGTTGCATATAGTGAAATACTGTATTAAAATTGAATGTATCCTCCTGTTCTTGCAGTTTATCCTTTGGGCTATGCATGTGGGGAGGCTTCTTTCCCCATCACTTGAGACTCAACTATCAGTCTCTTCAGGTCAGCAAACTGAAAATATTTACCTTTTTCTTGGTTAGTGAATTTTAAATGTGCCTTAGCAGCCCAACACCAAAGACTCGCTGACTGCAACTTTGGATCATTGAGGAAATGATAATGTAATTTTAATAACTATGCATTCTGCTTTCAGACATGCCACTACCTCTTGACTACGGAGGGGCTGAGTCCCAGATGAGTCACACTCCTCTTCCAGTGCCTGCCTTCTTCCGGGAAGCAGAAAGCAGTTTTTCAGCCAAGAGAGCTCGTAAGCCACTCAGCTATACCCTCCCACCACGCCCACGCCACAAGAGCTCACTCACTGTGAGCAGGATTTTCTCCGACCGCCGGCAGCAACCATGGACCAAGCTCCAGCCACACAGTGTTTCCTTCCATGGTGCACAGAGGAAACAGACACCCCTGCGTAGTCACCTGTATGATGCTTCCAAGAGAGAGCTGTTTTTCAAGCAGTGTTTCCAGCAGCTAAGCCGTCTTGGCAGAGGATCTTTTGGTGAAGTGTACAAGGTAAGGCAGTAGCAGACAGGCTACTAATCTCTTGGGACACATTTACACTAGCCATTTAAAATACATTTCTTCCCCAAAATATTCCCGTAAACTATAGTTTGTTAAGTGTGCTGTGAAATGCGGCTCTGTGAGATGAATTACAGCTCCCAGAATTTTTTATGGGAAGCCATGCTCTTTAAATATAAGGTATGGACACAGTCTGTGTGGAAGAAATGACTTCACGCAAGGCATAATTAAGATTCCCCCCCCCTCACAGTTTGTGGTGATGACCACTGGTTAGATGGCTTTGAAAATGAATTAGACAAACACATGGAAGATCTGCCTATCAGTGGATTACATTAAAATGAGACTTCCATGTTCAGAGGTGGTGACTGCGGCAGGGGGCTGTTGCCACCATGCCCTGCTTGTGGGCTTCCAGGAGGAATCTGGCAGGCCACACTGTAGGAAGTGGGGTGCTGACTACAGTGCATTGTCTTAAATACACAGCCCCACACTTCGGGTGCCTCCAGATTTTGGGAGAAGGATATAAGTGCATGCTACAACATAAGGTTTGTGCAGTTAAAGGGCTCTGTAACAAATCAACTTTAAAAAGAATCATGCTTTTTGCAATTTGGAAAGTGATGGGAGAATGCATTCAAGAGTGCAGGATGAACAAATGACTAACAGAATGATTTATAAACACCCCACAGGTAAATCAGGATGAATGCAGAACGAATGCTAATTGTGCAGGCTTTGTTCTTATTTGTTTGCTGGGTGATGTTATGACAATGTGACATGAATATAATTTCTCATGACAGAATCTGGATGTTCTTGGCAAGCTTACCACTCACAGTTCCTGAACACCCCTTGTGCTGGGAGTTCTTGCATGGAAGGGCCAGGATCCTCTTCAGTCTACAGGATGTAATAACTTGTTTCATCTTCCCTACAGGTGCGCTGTAGGGAAGATGGACAGCTATATGCTGTGAAGCGTTCTGTGGAGCCATTCCGAGGTGAGAGTGATAGGCAGCGCAAACTGGCTGAGGTGCGCAAGCACGAGCGCGTGGGGCACCATCCCAACTGTGTGAGCTTCGTACAGGCCTGGGAAGAGCGTGGGCAGCTCTACATACAGACGGAGTTGTGCCCAAACAACCTGTTGCAGTATTGTGAGGAGTATGGACCACTGCCTGAATGGCAAGTGCGAGCGTTCCTCTGGGACTTACTGCAGGGACTGCGTCACTTACACGACCGCAACCTTTTACACATGGATGTCAAGCCAGCTAACATCTTCCTCTCGTCCAGCAATGTCTGCAAGCTAGGTGACTTTGGGCTTATGCTGGAGTTGGACTCTAGGGATCTGAATGATGCTCAAGAAGGCGATCCCCGCTACATGGCACCTGAGCTGCTCCGTGGGGAATACACCAAGGCTGCTGACATCTTCAGGTGTGGGATGAGATGGGAAGTAGGGATGCTAATATTTCCAGTGCCTGAGATAGCCAGCAGCTTCACAGTTGTGGCTTTTGCTCCCCTGCCTCAAAATTTAACTTGTTGCGGGGTTCAAATTAGCACTACAGATAAGCAATGTTCTGCTGCTCCTGTTACTTCATCTGTGTGCTTCTGTCCTTCCAGCCTAGGCATAACCATCTTAGAGATTGCTTGCAATATGGAGCTCCCTAATGGAGGTGAAGGTTGGCAACAACTGAGACAGGGCTATATGCCCCCTGAGTTCACTGCAGGTGAGCAGAAACAAAGGGAACATTTCTGCATGCAGCACTTGCGTATGCCAACTCAACCGCTAATCCTCATGGAAGGAGGCAAAGTGGCTGTCAAAACTAGG